ATTCAACATGTTTTTTGTTTTCTGACCAGTCTCCCAGGTCACCGCAAAGTTTATTTTGCCTTGCTGATGTTAGCGTATTTCATACAATCCAAGCAAGAATTCAGAAATAAGATTACCATAGCCTTGTTTATAGTCATTCTAACCACAATGTTTTTGTTACTAGATTGCTAGAATATAAGTCAAGCGTTAAATATGACATGTACAATTTGTTTCTTTGAGATTAAAATGTACACTAGTGTGCTACTTTAGTAAGAAATCAAAATGGCTAGGTTGTCATTCTCATGTTAACGAAAAACAACAGACAGGAAAATTGAGAACATTTATATAGCCACCATCATGAAGAATAAATTATATTTTGTACATGCACAGCTGCATGTAAACTGTTCTTAGATTGCATAATAAAGCACTTTGGGATATTTTAGGGAATCTAGCTGTAAGGCCATAAGAGCTGATTTTTTTTAAATCCAGGAGGCGTAAGCTTGTAAAATTTTTTCTTTCTTCATGATAATTGATAAATTGATGTATTGGTGAACATTATCTTAAAACATTGTTCACACTAATTATATCCTATGTGATAGAGAACTTATTAAGTTAAAACTACTAAGTTATTAATCATTAAGTACTCAAATATGTCTTCGTTTCACATATCGTGGTTAATAAATGATTGCTAAATTCACCAGGTCTGTATTAATCAAAACTTAAAACTTTGCAAAATCATTTAAAATAAAGTAACTTTTAAAGACGTCCTGTTTTGTTTTGTGAGCTAAAATCAATTTTCGCTAAAGTCCTGCCATAATGGGTTTTTAATTACGATATCTACAGCCATAATATTTGCAATAATGCCCGAAAAGTATTTTATTGTCAAGTGAATGCAAATTAAAGCTTTTGGGGTACAAGAAAGTGCTATTTTTATTATTAATGTTATTTTAATACACAAGTTTAATGATAAGTTCTTTTAAAAAACATCAATTTCAAAGTAAGACGTAGGTGAAAGTGCACAGAACAAACGACAGCTGAAGCAATATATCACTAAAAAAGGCAAACGCATTTTCAAAGAAAATAAATTACTTTTTCTTATAGTTTCATGACCTTGTATGATCAATTATCAAGATCCAAAATAATAGATGTGTGATTGCTTTATCATTCTACCATCACTCAAATATTTTGCTGTTGCAAACATATCGGTTTGAGCTTGTTTACATACAGGTCTATGTTAAAAATTTGGGAGATGCTATTTTTTCGAAAAGGTATAATAAGAGTGTTTTTCAAAAATACAGTCATAATATTTAAAACAAGTTTTGAACAATACAGCAGAGATAATGAAACAATAAAGGAGCCCCCATAGACTGAAGTCAAAAATAGCAAACTTCAGAAGCATATATATCTTTCCTCAATTATTAAGAAGTATAAGTCTTTATTCCATTGCCATAAACAGTGCTTTGATGCAGCCTTCAATTGATCAATAATTTGATACAATAATAAAGAAAGTTCAAGATCTGAAGTTTAATATGACCACTGACTATTGATTTGTATTGATTTCATTTCCGACAAATTAATGATTATTATATATTATTGTGATGATACTAATTTCATGCATGTTTTGCTTTGTCGAAACAGAAATTCTAGAAATTCTTTTAAATCCATTCCATGATCTTCAAACTGAACAAAAGCTAAATATATAGTAATATAGTTTAAATAAGCTAAATATACTGCTCATAAAGTCAAGTGAATTTGTTTTATCTTTCACATAAATAAAAAGAAGGAGAAGCAGAAGAGACGAAGTAGATTCTACACACGACGATAATACCCGAATTCAAGAAAAGGATTCCAAAACTTGAAAAATTTTGGAACTTGCGCAAGGAAAGAGCAAATATCACTTAAGGGACTTAATCAGTGGCGTATAGCATTTACACAAAGTCTATCTACAACCTACTTAACTAAAAAAACTGCAGAAAAAGGTTTTAATATGAAAAATAACAACTTAGTCTTTCGTTTTTACGCATAGAAAAACGTAAACAGAGTAAACAGCATTATATATGGTTTTGTTTTTTTTTATAGGTGCAGACGTGTGGTGGTCAGCAACATTTCATTTTGACGTTTCCAACGTACCTTAATTGAACACTTGTTCTGACAATGGTATCAAATTCAAAAAAGCTAAGTAGCATTCTTAGTTGTGTTTACATAAGTTGGGAATTCAGCCAGAAATAGCAAACATAAAGACATGGGAGTGCATGGTCCTTCTTCAAACATGTAATGTGTAAATTGACGATGAAAATTGACATATTTAGTTGAAGCTTTAATTACATATTGGGATAGGCAGGCTTACGTATTCAAGCCAGACAAGATTATGTAACATATCACAATTTAATTAGTGAGTTAGGCTTCAAGATATGCTTTATACTTTAGTTACGACCAAATAGACATGTTTTAAAATAGACATGTTCTTAAATGGCTTGCCAAAGCAAATTTACTGACTGAGTTGGTTTTCTTTTAGTAATTTGCAAGATTTATTTACCATAACTACAAGAATTTGCTAGCTACAATTATTTAGAAACAGCTCTATATGCTTGGTATTGATGGGCTGTATTTGGATACATCTCGTACGTAAAATCATAATGATTGTTTTTCTTAGAGATCACACATAAAACCTATATTTAGTAAACATTCATTTATCACTCACGTTAGATGTATAAACATATTCCCGAGTTCAAGGACAAAAATTTTCATAAACTCCATAATCTTGTCAAACTGCTCGTTAGCTACATTCAGCCTCATGACTACTGACTCAATGTCATATAGACTTCTGCCCTCTCGATCACTAGAAGAAGCCAGGTTTTTGCCTCACAGAAACAGTTACGCATTTGAAGCCCCGTACATGCAGAAAAAGATACTCAAGCAACTTGAGTTTATCTTCCTCATCCTACGGTGAAGAGTTTAGATGGCCTTACATTTCAATCAATATCTTTCTATGTTAGCCTTTCATTTCACTGTCAAATCTGGACGACTATACAAAAGAACAAAACTCAGTCAGCTTGAACTAAATCCAAGTGCATGGAAGCAAAGCTACCATGATATTACCGAGCAAAAATATGAATTTTAATAAAGTTGAATACTAAAACCATCGCTATGGCAGCCTTGCTTTTGTATAGACTATATAGTTAAAAATGCTAGGGTTAAACCACCTCCAGGGAATTCTCAAACAATGTAGCTTGCCCACGATGGCTGGTGCCCACAACAGTATGAATAAAATATTCTTTTGTATTTGATAACCAACATAACGGCCATGACGTAACACAAATACCACCTATAATCTAATTATTTATATAAAAACTGTTGTGCAAATTTTCACAGACTTGCAGACAGCAATTCAGGGCATGAATGGAAAAAATATTGTCGAAAAATCCAAATTAATAAGTGGCAGTTATACATCAACAATGGCTAGAGGAAAATTTTAATATAGACTCAACATTTCAAATAAAAGAGGTTTGAACAAAAACTGCTTCTCTGAACATTGCTATTCTGCTCAAAGTAATTGATGAAGCTAGTCTTTTAATATCTACAAAACATTTTGATCGTACTGTTCCGTTAATCATATTCTACTCTAATTTACGAGCCTAGTTTAAATTATCTAACATCTTTAAGAGATAGGTGGGAAAAGGATTTGCATTTGTTATTACATCCCTCTGCAGTTTTAATTAAATCTTTCAATGGTTAAATAGATAATTACACAAACACTGTAGTCTTGTTCTTGAACTAAAGGTATGACATAGCACAACTGAATGAGAGTACTTTCAATAAAGGTTTATGATTAGTAAATAACGTGAAATTTTTACACAAAATGAGGAAAAACAGCATCTTATATACATTAAGATTATTTTATGAATTTTACAAATTTAATGTAACTTTTTTGTTGATTGGATCTCCTTTGAAGTAAAATGGACAATTTTTGACAGACAATCTGAGGTTTACCTTAATTGACCACATATCTCTATGTCTTGGAAGTGAGTAACTATTTATAGGTTGCATTTAAGATATTTCGTCCTAACCCATATCCAAATCAAATGGTATTAAATCAATGCTTTATAATGTAGATTATTTGTCATGGATGGTCTAAGCACTGGTATCTGTACCCTATCTGGCTTGTTGTCAACGAAACGAATTTGTCCCAATATTTTTTACATTAAAGGCTGCGGTGAAGTCAAATGCCTTTAAATAATCTTTTCCACATTAGGTGGTATATTTTTGCTATTTTTCATGATTTTTTTAATAACAGTAAGAAAGTTTTTTGTAGTTCTTTAAAGAAAAATCGACTTTTTCATGTATTTTGAGAAACACTTGTTTATTGTGTTGACTCAACAAGAAAAATCGTTTTCCCTTTGCACAAAGGAAGCCTTAATTGTCATGCTCAGTGTTTTATGGGTAGCTAACATGCGCTAAGTTGTAAGATATACTAAGCAAAATAAGGCATATTCCATTCTTTTATCTTCTATTAAAATATAATGGGCCATCATTAAGAGGTAAGCCCAATAATTATATATTTTAAAGCGTGCATTTTTTAAATAAATTTGTAGCATGAAAGTTTTTTCATTGAAGACATTTCTTTGTCGAAGCACATAAGACATCTTCAACAGTCTTAGATACAACAAGCTGAATAAATAATCTAATTAAAAAATTACATTGCATTAAATTACATGATAGGATTAATAGGAATAGTGTTTAATTTTACACATAAGGAAATAATGAAAAATATACGTACATCATGAAACTAACACATGATCAGTGGCGTAGCAAACCCGCAAGTTTCTTCTTGCTATGTAAATAATTTATTGTTCATAATACTATGAATTTTTAATAAAACGAATGATGCTGATGATAAAAATTACGTGTTATGAATAAAATTGGCCATTAACCACATAAATAAAATTGAACATGAAATTTTGTGTTAATTTTAACGGTAATATTAACGGTAATAAAGAAGCCAATAAAGCAAGTACAATTAATTTCATGACGATCATCTTTGCAAATTTTTAATTTAAGAGGAAGCAGATATCAATCCTTTGCTTTTATGATTTGTTTTTTTGAAAAACACAACGTGCTATATGAATGTGTAAGTCATGCCATGAAGAATAAAGTATAATAATTACAAAATAATCTTTAAAGAAGGCAGCCCACTTTAAAGAAGGCAGCTTACAGCAAGGTAAAACTAAAAAAACTGCAGTTATTTATGAAAAGTCATCATGGTTTAATTTTCATTTCACTTGTTTTCACGTTAAAACTAGACCAATACATATTTTTACCATTTAGGTTGGAACCATAACAACTTTTATACCACCAAGCACCTTTGAAGGAAGTAGCGCAATTTCTACTATCTTTATCATTATCTGAATCTTTGGTTGAAAACTTCATGTTATTGTGATAGGATAATTGATCCGCAGCAGTTCCTGAAAAGTAGAAATGGTTCTATAGTTTTCTGGTTATTTGTATTTTAAAATACGTTAAAACCACTTAAAGCTGGACTAGCTGGCTTGCAGGGCCAATTTGTATTCGCATTCATATGAGGCGGGCTGGCCAGGCTGAAATGTTGTATTTAATTTCTGCCAACAAACATTGTATTTTGTGGGAAAATTAAATTGTGTTTAGACTCAGACATTCAACAATCTGATTGCTACCAGTGAGTTCCACCGATTATTGTAGTGGTATAACATGAAATTTTCAAATTTATTTTCAATTGCACATTATTGTTTTGAAGTTTTTGTCATATTTAAATAACCAAACAAGACAAGGGAATGCGCCATCTCATCTCTTCCAGCCCTGTTTAGCCGGGCTGGCCCAATTGATGCAGTTATATGAGCCCGTTAGAACCTAGCTTCCTTCAAGCGTATCTCGCCAAGCTGGGCTGGCCCGCTCTTCATATGAACGCAATTTCAAAAAATTGTAAAATAATATACGAGGCAAGATCTCGGCAAAGCTACCTATCCTGGCATAAGCGGGCTGGCCCGTCTCAAATGAACTGGCCCTAAGGTACAATCTGTCAACGCAATTTGCTATCACAAACACTCATTTTCTTCAATATTTTCTTACCTGTGTATTTTCCAATACTTAATTGATACTTATAATTTTCATCCTTTACAACAAAATCGTCATATTCAGCGTATTTTTTAGTGCCTGACGTGTTTACAAGATCAATTCGAAGTTTATTTTTCCTTGCAGATGTTAGTCGATGTATCTTGTCCAATCCAAGCCAGAATTCGGATTTAAGATTACCAAAGCCACGTTTATACTCCGCCCAACCCAGATAAAAGTTTGTATTTCCATTTTTTATTTGTCTTTGAATTACAGTCCAACCACCACCTGATGACGTCATGTCACAGAAGACCTTAAAGTTTCCTTTACCATCAGGATCTACTTCGTATATTCCACTGTGTCTTACACTTTTCTGTAAAGATCTGCGCAGTCTTTTCCTGATGGTTATAAAAATATTAACTAACACAGAGAAATAAAATGAAAGATATTGTTTTTATTGAACAAATATTACTCATTACTCGAATCTATAAGTGTCTTTTCTTTTTTTAAAATCATTCTTACCTTTTTCCGAAATATTTGTAAGTTCTTCATTTACCATGTAAAGTGTTTTCAATTGTTTTTCAAGACTTTTTAACTCCGTTTGTAATGTTGCCCTTTGGGCATCAAGTTTTTTCATTTGTGACGAAAGATCAATCATTTTCAATTCAACTTTCTTAATTTTTTGTTGTAATTTCACTAGTGTATATGTTTGTACTTCTGTCCTATTGATTTTGTGTTGAAGACTTAACTTAAAGATTTGCAGATGTTTGTGCTGGGTTTGAAGATTCTTGTGATATGTTTGAAGTTTTTTTATTTGTCCGTCTATTATTGCAATTTGTGATTTCAAAGTTGCATTGTTTTATCGGATTTTATGGTGCGTTTCATGTCATGGCTGAATGTTGAGTAGAAATCTTTTAAATAATCTTCCTTTTTGTTTGTTGATCTCACTCTGCAAAAGTATGAACAGTAAAGTGAGTCATGGAAAAGTTTTCAGATGAAATATTTCACACTATAAACAAGGAATTGAGGCAGACTTATATCAAGTACATAAATGACAGAGCTAACAACGTACTAAAAAGGTGTAATGCATATAAAAGTCTTACTCCTCCAATACACAATTTAAACAAGAAAAACTTGGCTTGAGCTGATTTGAAAAATCTTTAGTTAATCATGTTTGTATACTGCCCCAGCATAATATTAACTACAACTCGACAATTTGTACTAAATGTTATTCAAATTTAAAAAGAAATACGCCATAGAAGTGTTTCTAACACAGTCTTTTTCGCGTTCAATAAAGCGCATTAAACATTTCCAAGTTCTTTACCCGAAACCATAGCTTACCCTTGAATATTAACAACGATGCAGGTAATCGCCACCAACGCACAAATAAAGCTCACCATCTTGTCTTGTCTCAAATGTCTTACAAGTAAACACTTTAGGTTGAGATGAAGATCGAGGCTCTTTATATATGTGTGTGTGTCCAGCATCAATAAATTGTGAGGATAAAGAAGCCTTTACGAATTTATACAGACTAATTTGTTTCAGGATGTAATTGAACTGCTTTAAATAGTTTAAATATGTTGAACAGTTTGCACACATAGCCACAAACTGGACATTGTTTTAATTTTAATGTCGAATTCACTCAACTTAGAAGAAGTTTACAAAAGTGACTCAAAGCTTTAAAATCGGTAGTTTTGAAGGATTTTCAACATAACATTTACTCTTTAATAAACAGGCCTTTATTTATCGTAAAACAACAAAACTAGCAAATTAACATAAAATTAATGAATAAAGACTTATTGTGATATTTTGGTAACAAACCAAATGTAGCTGTTAAATACGTTGTACTTTATTGATAGATTGCTCGCGATGTTATAGAGTTTTAAAAAAACAATTTAAAAATAAGAAAGAGTTATAATAAAAGCACAAGGCATTACAGTGAGTGTTGTGTTTCGCTAAAAAAGAACCGAGATCTTTCTAAAATTTCTAATTAAATGCTCTTCATGACGTCAACCTATAAGGGAGCGACATCCAAAACAAAGCTTGCATTGATATAAAGACTGTTTATTAAAAATTGATGCAATTAAAAAGCATTTAACAGTGTCCTTTTACAATTCTAGTTTCATCATTTGGCTGGATGTTCTTGACGTAAAGAAATAACTAGGAAACTTAATAAAATACGAGGCACTTGAATAACCCTTAAGATTTTTTACATAACTCTTTCATATAACTCTTTCTTATATAACTCTTTCAAAGAAGTAATATGCTTAATGTTTCTATATTTTTATTATTCTATATTAACCTCTGAGTGAAGAGAATGAGTTCAATCTTGTAATTTAGCTGTGTCATGTCACCAAACAAGAACTTCTTTTGATTCATTCAATACTACTTAGATAAATAAAAATAAAAAGTTCCTTTTTTGGTTGGTTAACGACGAGGAATTTCCTCTTTTAATTCGGTCAATACTAGGAAATAATGTCCGTTAAAGGACAAATCCACCTTATAACAATGTTACTATCAAAACTGTATTAGTATGCAAAGGTCGCCATAATTTGAAAATTTTACATCAGCTACTTTCTTTTTGAAGAAACACGTAGCTATTTAAATGAAATTGTTGAACTGATTGGAGACTCAGCAGAGCGCCGTCAGAGGAAATTACTTTTTACGTCAAATCAACAAAAAAATTTGAGCTTGCTGTTTACAAATTTAAAGTTATGTTCAATGGTCATGTTACACAGCATGGCACTTAAACAATAAAAAAACACATACAATTTTTTTTTCTCGATAGTTTTGAAAGAGACATGGAAGGCAATCCAAAAAACATCATTCGTAATAAATTAAATGGTTTGAACCCGAAAGTATCGTTACATGTTTGTGGATGTAGATCGTCCAGATTAGTAGAGTCCTGAGAAGGACTGTTGTTGTTGATGTTAACTGACGTTTCGACAACCTTATAACGGTTAGCCATTTCAGTTTTTAGCCTGAATAGTCGGCTAATGAAGATCAAGAAGGTTACCAGTCAATTGAGAATGGGAATTTGAGAATGTTGGCGATAAGCACTAACCAAGCATCAATAGTTGATGACGAAGCATGAAGCGCCATTCCAGGGGCGGATCTAGGATTTTGGATACCATAGGCAAAACATTATGACGTCATTCAGTGCTAAACCTATGACGTCATACTTTACAAAACATACTACACTATTTATGCTTTCGATAAATTGTTTAAATCAAACAGTCTAATCATTCAGCTATGCAGAATCTTGTAGATCTCAATCGTATAAATACATAAAAACATTGTATATTTATACTTACATATCACAAGGTCGTTGATTTTCACTATTCAGAATATTGAATGCACACAAGACTGTTTCGCCCCATATCAGGGCTCATCAGCATGCCTAGGAACACTTTAACGCAAAACAAAAAATCGTGATCCGGCATGGACAGCCCTGTGAGAGCCGAATTAAGCAGACTGGTTATGGCGCCAGAAGTTCGCCTACACACCTTTGAAAAGGAGTTTGGTTAGAAATGGGTGACTATATGGGATATTTCATGGATGTGATATTGCTCAATTTTTCACACCATCCCAGTCAATTCCAACCCTTTACCCCCCACCTAAAATGAGCACTCTGGTTTTGAAGGCGCCAGAAACTCGCCTTTCACACCTTTAGCAAATAGCAAAAGGAGTTTGGTTAGAAATGGGTGACTATGTGGGACATTTCATGGATGTAAGATTGCTCAGTTTCTTACACCATCCCAGTCAATTCCAACCCTTTACCCCCCACCTAAAATGTGCACTCTCATTTGCCAACAAATGAGCAGAATGTAAATGTAATGTAATAGTCAAAATAGAGCTTTGTATAAAGAGTCTTTGTGAAGACTAAAATTTGGTGTAAGGAAAAATTATTCTATTTATGCTTAACAATTTTGTGAAAGTAAATTTATGTCGACAACGGCCGAGTACCATACACGTACTCAGCAGTTTTAAGATTGGAATGTATATAGGAAAAAACCTTTATCGGGCGAGCTATTAGTTTGATGCAAATTCTATTGACGTTACTATTGTGTACAACGCACAATAAATGGTTAACATATGGACATTTCAACAAAATAAAAAACTAGGATATGAATAAATTCATGCAAATTTTAGCCTTGTATTTCCAACAGCAAAAGTATTAATAACCTCACCAATATCTGGTACAATTTCCTGATGAATTTGCATCAAGGCCAAACCATTTAAGCGTTCCCCAACCATGGTACTTCGCTGATAGTTTTTAAGTGTCCTAAGGGAAGAAATAGATCGTTCACATTCACAAGAGGTAATGGGGAGCGTTCCTAAAATACGTAGTAAAATTTTAATGTTTTCAAATCCGGCGAAATGAACAGATTTTAAAGTCTGGGCAATGTTATCAGGAAGGAGGCCGCAGTGGGTCTCCCAATAAGTGTACCACAACCTAAGTTCAGCATCTAAGGCCAAAGGATTTGGCAAATCATCATAATAAAAGTTAGCCACAGTTTTGAATGGCTCTTTCCAATCCACCCCATCTCTTGTCATGGACATCATTTTCGTCGGTACAATGCTAAGGCCTTTATAGACATTCACACTCTCAAGGTCGAATCGTGATTCTAAAGAAGATTGCAAATGATCTAGTAGAGGAAGAGTAATTGCACGTTTATAATACTCAGAAATGGTTGTGTGGGGAATATTTTCCCTGGTCGTTTGTTTGCGCACTGTTCTTGGTTTCCATTCTTCAATGCCAACTTTTGCTGCCAGTTCAAGCGCTTCGTCATACCAGGTGTCATGATAAAAATCAGAGGAATTCCTCATGTTCACCACCTCAGTTTTCAAAGTTGAAATTAAATGAATACCATCCATTATATCGATACTCTTACCCTGTAATAACTGTGTTACTGGAAGAGTTGAATCAAGAATATTTCTCGTGATAACTAAAGCAACGACGAAATCAAACCTGTCAATAAGTTGAAACAAAGATGAGGCATCAGACTGAAGCGACGGTTTGAACTCACCATCTAGATTTTCAGACATATCGTTAAGGGTGGTGTATACAGGTACAAAAGCTCTTGGAATGTATCTAAACCTTCGATACGTTCTACCCATCTAGTTTTGCAAACGTCTGTTAATCTAGTCTTTTTCGAGTTTGTTTCTGAATTACGTATATGTTTTCAAAGGGAATATTGCGAGTTTGGGAAATTT